TCAATTGATAACATTTGTATCCAGACATTTGCACAAAATGAAAAAAGAGCATGTACAGATTAGTTAGGCAGAGTCGAGCATTATATAAAGTTAGGACAAAAGGGCACATTTTGTAGTCCAGTAGACTGGACCTCAGTCCAATTGTATTTGGATATTTTCTCAAAGATTGAGACAGAGGCACATTTGTGATTGCTAAGAGGAATGTGGATAAAGCACAGCCCTATTATTTGATAGGAAAGCTCAATCATTCAGTACCCATATTAACAACCCTTCGATAGGGGTAGACTAGAAGTCCTTAATTGAATAAATGGATGTCAGCAGGAGACCCATATAAATGATACACCTCAATTAATAATATGAATAATCTCAGTTAAAAGCTTTCTCAGTATCAAGGCTGATTAGAACTGGGGATCTTATCACAGACAGCAATATCCCAAGATCCTGAGTTCTGTGGACAGCAACCAGTGCTTCAAGATGAGTGATTAACCTAAGTTAATTTAATTGATCGAATCGATTTAATATTTTTGATAAGCTTTTCAAATTATTTAAAAGGTTACTGCAACCACCATGGCTACTTCAGATTTTTGAAGTAGTCATGGTGGTAGGAGTCTCTTTTTTGTGTTTTTTAGTTTCAGACACTGCACATCAAGAGTAACTTGTGTCCTGGGGGATAGTTGCACCACCAGATCCAAACTGCAGGATGACTCTCTGGACACGAGAGATGCAGCAATCTTAGAAAATCATTTCAGCTTTATTAAGCCTTGTCAGAGAGGTAAAGCTAATACAGTTGCAGGAATAGTGAGCAAGGTGTCCACATCTGGATTACCCTTTAACCTTAGGCTCCCTCTGCAGAAGAGTTACAGTAACCCCAGTTGCATTCTTTATATTACAATTAAAGGACCACTTTAGTGCCAGGAAAACAAACTCGTTTTCCTGGCACTATAGATTCTCTGAAACTGCTATGTTTACAGCTGCAGGATTAACCCTAGATGGACCTGGCACCCAGACCACTTCATTGAGCTGAAGTTGTCTGGGTGCCTATAGTGGTCCTTTAATGAGAGGGGCTTATAATTTGTACAAACGTGCTATATTTCCCTTCTTTGCTCTGAGCAATTGACTGCCTCTTGAGTTTAGCGCCACTGAGCTAAACAATCTGGAAGTAACAGGACTGATTGACAGCCAGTGGAGGGTTGTAACCAGGTTAGTTAATTTCTATTGAAATATGCACGTTTTGTAAGATGAAAAACAGATGACTCACTCTTCACACACAGAGCATTTCTGCAAACTAAAATACTTTTAGGATGTGGAGTGTCCCTCTAGCAAACAGTAGACTGCACATATCACACAAATCACTGTACAGTACTTTCGCAGCACAAATTTGACTGGTAGAACAATTTTCTTTCTACAAACACCTAGCAAAAAGACCTGTCAAACTGTAAAATTGTTGATTCCAAATTGGTGCTACGTGGCAGTGACTGGATATTAATAGTAGACACAACAATTACGATAACCACTAGGCTTTCACTAGGATGTATGAAACAGTTTGTGTGAGTGCCACTGTGGAGGAGCTTTATTTATTTTTTTTTTTTTACTTTTTCCTGAACAACACACCAACAAGGGATTCTTTTTCTACAATCCCTTAACAATAATAAATCTAGTAATGTCCAGTCCAAAGTTGGCATTGGAAGTGACAGGCAGGTATGAACAGGAAAATCCAAGGTCGTAGACATGTCCAAAGTCGGCAATGCGGTAATCAATCAGGAACAGGTAGGCAAATCAAAAGCTCACAGTGATGACAGATCTAAGATCGGCAATGTGGGAATCAATCAGGAACAGGTAGGTAACCCAAAGATCACAGTGATGACAGGTCCGAGATCGGCAACGTAGGAATCAATGAGGAACAGTAGGTAAATCCAAAGATCGTAGTGATGACAGGTCTATGGTCGGCAATTTGGGAATCAATCAGTAGTGTCAAGGGTTTTCAGGGGAGATCCGGAGATGAGAAGCAGGAACTCACTGTGAAGGATCCTAAAGAACAGAGGGGGGAAATTTTATTGTGTAAAAGTTTTAATACATTAACTATGCACTGAGGCACTTATGTCAGATGCTTAAATAACATAGCATTACGTACGTCAGTGCCTTCTTAAAGAGATATTTCCCAAAATTAGTTATGATAAAATAAAACCCCGACACTCACACTAGAATGAACAAAATAGGCTCTCTCATCTTCCATTTAAAGTTGTTTTAAATGTCATTGGCATTAGCTAACTAGGTAGATTCAGCAGTAAGTTAAATATAGTCTCTCACTAGGATAAATGAAACAGGGAAACAGTGTATTTCATGTCTCCTACTCAAAGTTATTTTAAGTGTCACTGGCAGTAGCTAGCTAGATAGATACAACAGTCACTTAAACCTGGTCTCACAATAGGATTAATGATAATAGTATGACAATGGTATGTTTCAGTTATTGATCTTGCTTCATTCCTCAGTAAATATACTTTATTGACAAATATTTATATGTATATAAATGGATACATGCTGTAACCGCTGGTGGTTCCCTTATTTACCACTATAATGTCTTAAAGCATAGAACTTAGTAGGGCTAACCATACAGATATCTTAGCCATAATTTTATATAGTGTAAGAGATCCTCTATTTAACATATATAAATAACTGAGAATACAATATAAAATAAGGATTGTCTTGGAAACAATCGTTTTGTCTTTTTGGATATTTATTATATAAAAATATAAAATCCATTATAGCAGAGTTTATAAGATTAAATTACATGCTTGCAAATATCATTAATAGGTTAACATACCCTTCTGAACATGTCATCATGTCAGCCTCTCTGTCATTTTAAGATGGAGCAGCGTCTGTCTCCAAGTCTCTCCTCTGTGTCTTAACATTTAAAAGTACACCTATTTATACCTTAGGTGTCTCCATTTTAGGTTACTGTAGTTCAAATATGAAAAAGTAACACTTCTTTTACTTTATTCAATTTAGGTCCTCCCTTAATTTGGCAAACATACAAGGCCATAACTAAAGGGTGTATACGTCATGGACATTTTCCTGACTTAGTTCAAGATGGCATCTTAAAGTCTGAATAGGTTATCTGTTGTTTATACTAAGTCGTAAGTGTACAGTCGTGGGAGATTCCAGGATTTGGGGAAGTTCCATTAACTTGGGGTTACCACAGATTATTGTGTACTGCAAGTGTCGTAGCATAGCCTTGAAGCTTGTTTATGCATTATTGTTATTGTAATTCGTCTCGGACAAAATGGCGCAAACATATTATGCACTGAGGTTATTGCTTAAAGAAACATCTATGAAAAACAATATGTTCCATTTCTAACACCTTGTCAGTTTGCAATATCTCTTAAAGACAAAGTACACAGTTTAAGAAATACAACATTTCATTCTAAAACTTCTAATATTTGCATTTGCCCGTAACACCCTCTCCATTAAACTGTGGGCATTGTAGCGCATTTCTTCCTTAAATTAGTAAACCAAAGTTCTCCAACTGTCTTTAGGTTTTTTATGCTCCCACATCTTAGATCATTGTTGTAACAGTAAAATATCCGTAGTGTGATCTTTGCCTGTAAAGGTGGTTGATTAAAATGAGCAAAGCTTTTTTTCTGGGAAAGAATTGAAAAGAACACCAAGTTCCAGAGTAAGATATTCCTGGATAGATCTGGATACGAATTGTAATCCAAAATTAAAAACAGTAATTGTATTTGTAATCTAAAGTCTTTAAAGACCTGTAGAAGTTTACATTCCTTAGATACATTGCTGGAGGTTGTGTTTGTAGAATACCCGGGTATTTGTTGTAGAGTATAGGTTGTAATGTCCAGCTTTCCAAATATTTGGCTAGAATTGGTTGCAGATATTGAATCAGCATCATCTATTATCACTGTGGTGATGGTGTTGGTATTTTTCTTTGTCTTTTTTTATTCATTTTTTTCCATGAAACATTTTTACACCGTTTATGATGTGTGTAGATTGGATACTCTCCGATATTCTTTTATGGAATCAATTAATTGACAGCATTTCCAAGACATTGTCTTAAGTGACATGGATCCCATTATAGTAAATGTTATGTTGATACAGCAATCGAAGTGGATTCTCAAGAACGCCTCTTTTTGCTGTATTGGAATCGTTGTAACATCTCAGTGATAGACATCTCACTGACATCAGGTGCTGTTGTGCTAAAAATGTTAACAGGTAAAATCTGTGGAAAAATCTTTACATTTGTTATACTTTGTATAATGATAGATGAAATAGTAACATAGTTAATCTTTCTAGTGTTTTGTTTTAAAGATAAACACCCTTGTATATGATTTAGAGATATAAGGATAATTTGAAGCAGCAAAGTATTTACCACCTTTGTTCACAATGGTATGTAAAATTACATTCTCTTTAAATGTTAAAAATACTCCTTTATTCAAAATCTCTCAATCTATTTAGAAATATGACGTTAATTATCTTTCTTTGATCTGTTAGGGAGAAGACAACTTATTCCCTAGTTATTATTAGTAAATATAATTACAGTTATTAGTGGCTTAAAGTACCAGAAATCCCCAAATATTGTCTTAGAAAACACTTTTTT